AGAATCTAATTACCATGTATATTTCTTGCAATCTCATACTTACTTATAGGGCGTACATATTTGTACAAGATTGGTTGGAATAAAGTATACATAATTTTAAATTAAATGGTAATTATGATTTCTGTACTTGATAAATTTAATTAGTGGAGAGTACATTGATTTCATATGTATGCAAGATGATGCCTAAAACTACTCACGTACTTGCATTTCTACATAAATAAGTTTTTCAGGCTTTCCAGCATTATATTATTAATATTTATATTTAAAAAAATTTATTCTTCTATTATTATTAAAAAAAATTGTTTACAATGTATTTCATTATATAATTTAATTCTATTTTTTATATGGTTTTATACATTTGAAACTTATAATGCTTATATAAAAATAATGTTCTTTTGCAAGTAAATTGATATAATTAGTAAAATGCGTCACAAACATATTTTGTTTTTTCAATATATTTAAATATTTGATAATTGAGTATATTTATAATTTGCCCTATTTTTTAGTAAAAAAAAAGCTAGCTAAGGAAAAATCATATCCAAACAACATTCTGTCTATTCTTAAGCAAATATGTTTGATATCAATTACATTAAGTTGAATTTTTATGGAGCCGACGTAGATCTCCACAATAAAAAAAAAAAAATTCTAATTGAAGCAATGTGTTCCATGATTTCTATAAAGTTTAGATATTTTAGCATTGTTTTCTTAAATTAATGCACGGATATTTCACTTGATAATTAGGCATTTATTCGTTTTAAACTGTTTATTTGCATATTATTGTTAATTTTTAATTTCAAACATTTATTGAAGTATAATTCAACTGTTTTATAATGAAAATTTTTTTTCCGATTTGAACATATATAAAGTTGACAGTATTAAATTTGTGGTACAATAATATGTTTAGCACTGACTTAATTTACTCATTGAAAAAGTGAAGAAAAGAAGATACGTAAAGCTAAAACTAGATTAATTGACAACGTTAACGTGTTATTTATTTTTTTGTCTTGAAAATAATTTGAGTTTTCTGGAAAGCTGTTTAATCATAGTTGCCTCGTCATGTTGTTGATACGCAAGTTTCTGAAACATTTCTTCTTTGCTATATTTGCTATGCTTTCAATAATTAACAAATGTTCGGGATGTTAATTAAGAAATTAAACTATTTTGAGATTGTAAATGTTAACGTTATTTAAATTTTCTGGTTTTAAATTATATCTTACGGTGAATTTGGCTCTTCAAATAAAAAAACAACTGTTTGCAAATAAAGATGAAGAGACACAGATCGGAGGAAAGAGAGAGAGAGAGAGAGAAAAGTCGTAGTTATTGATGAAAGGGCACCGCGCATGTCACCCTCGTAAAATACTCCGGAACTGATTTTCTTCCCCCTATCATCTAGCTATATGCTTCTCTTTTATATTATATAGGAAGAGAGAGAGAGAGAGAGAGAGAGAGAGAGAGAGAGAGAGAGCGAGAGAGAGAGCAGAGGGAGAGAAAGAGAAAGAGAGAGAGAGAGGGAGGGAGAGAGTTATGGCCATTTTCAGAGAAGCGTTACGCCTTATTCGCTACGCTGTAAAGTGAAATGGAATGGCATGGATGTATGTGTAACTGCAAGTAAAGGAAAAACAAAAGAAAGCAAAGAGATTGAAGAAGAAATAGAAATAGCGGGAGGGGTTGCAATGATATTGCAATGAGAATAGAATGAGTTGTAAATAAATTAGAATAAGGGAAGTAAAGAAGATAGGTGGATAAAAAAATGACAGTAGAGAATGAAAGTCCGACAAATATGAAAAGGGGAGAGACGTGGGAACGACGAGAAGGGAATGCGTTAACGCTGATGCTTCTGCCACCGTTGCTGTGATCTCATATTACTGAATACGAGCACATAATAAAACACGAGAGATTAGATGATCAACAAATGAGAAAAAGGTGTTACTGGCTTCTGTAGTACGACTGAGACCCATAATAGCAAACTAAAACATTATCAAGTATTAAATGGCACTCTAAGGAAATTTACCGTTCCCTTTAATTACCTGTATTTTATCTTTGGCTATTACTGTAAAAGTTAATTTTAATTTTTACAGTTCAATTTCAGCATTAAGTTTAAAAAAAAAAAAAAAAAAAAAAAAAAATACTTGGGCACGGACGAATTAATTTTGCTATTAATGCCTAATTATTCGGTATCAAAGTTAAATTACAAGCTAACAAATAAATATTATTACGAATTCGCATATGAAAAGTTTCATAGGGATATAAAAGCTCTTCATCCAATAATTAAATTAAAATAACTCGTTTAACAAAGAAAGCAGAATTGTATAAATGCTTTTTTAAAGGGATAAAATTTTTTATGATATTAAAATGCAATTAATAGTTGCTCTGATTTAACGACGTTGAATTCGTTATCTAAAACAAAACTAGTTTTTAATGTGAATTAAGAAAATCATGGTGATTCCTTTATTTGTAAAAGGACATTTACATAAATGTGACTTCACGCTTGAAATTTCAAAAAAAAAAAAAAAAAAAAAAAAAAAAAAAAAAAAAATAAAAAAAAACTATTCCTTAATTAAAACACTTGATAAAAGATAGAGTTCTTGAATCGGTATGGATCATGTTTCAAATTTATAGTCCAGCCTCTTCGATAATTAGATGTGCATTAATACCATCTAAATCCAAGCTTAATTTCCATTATATTTTTCTTTATAAATTAAACGACGTCTTTCTCAAACTTTTCTTTACGACGAAACCTCATCATTACGAGCATAATAATAACATTAATCCATTAAATTGGCATCTCTTAATCATGCTTGATATTTTAACATCAACGCGCATTTGCAGATGTATTTTATAAAGAATTAGCATTAAAAGCCGAGACTCTCTATGTCCTCTATGAGAAAAATAACGTTTAAATTAGAGATAATTTGTATAAGCTTATGGTAGTAGAATATGACGTTAATAAAAGTAAAGGACACCGAATGTGGAGTACGTCGGATAGGTAGGGGAGGGGGGAAAAAAAGTGAATGAAAAAGAGGCGAGAGAAGAAAGATAAGAGAGAAATATTTAGGAGAATGCAGAAAGAGAAAAAGTGAAGGAGACGCTGGCTATGCCGATTACAGACGATGGATATATGAGATAATGAAAATCCCCGTTCTACTCGGGTCGTGCACGCTTCCGCGTATCTAGATTCCGCTCTTCTCGCGCTGCAAGTCCTTCGTCTCTCCTCAGGGACGTACATGGCGCGAACGTCTTTTCACTGGGTTTCTCACTCAATTGCCGCTGGAATTCATTCCCTCCTTTTGGTTCTCGCTGCCCCATACCACGCCACCGCGAGCAAAAAAGAAAGCCTCGCGAATGATTGCGATCGGTAAAAAATTAATGGAATCATGAGCGTATATCGAACTTGCATTGTTTTTATTTCCCGCTCGTGAATTTATTGGTCCTTTTGCGACGGCACACATGGTTACCGATTTTTATACTCTCCATGCATTTTTAATATTTTCAATTATATTAGGAGCTTGCACATCCATGGTGAATTTTTCTGCAATTTAATAACAAATGGCGTGGATGGAAAAGATAGGGTAGGTAGGTAGGTAGGTGGGTGAGTGGGGTATGTAGGGTAAGTAGGGTAGGTAGGGTAGGTAGATAGGTAGATAGGTGGGGTTGATAGGTAGGTAGATAGGTAGATAGGTAGGTAGGTAGGTAGGTAGGTAGGTAGGTAGGTAGGTAGGTAGGTAGGTAGGTAGGTAGGTAGGTAGGTAGGTAGGTAGGTAGGTAGGTAGGTAGGTAGGTAGGTAGGTAGGTAGGTAGGTAGGTAGGTAGGTAGGTAGGTAGGTAGGTAGGTAGGTAGGTAGGTAGGTAGGTAGGTAGGTAGGTAGGTAGGTAGGTAGGTAGGTAGGTAGGTAGGTAGGTAGGTAGGTAGGTAGGTAGATAGGTAGATAGGTAGGTAGGTAGATAGGTGGGGTATGTAGGGTAGATAGGTAGGTAGGTAGGTAGGTAGGTAGGTAGATAGGTAGGTAGGTAGATAGGTGGGGTATGTAGGGTAGATAGGTAGGTAGGTAGGTAGGTAGGTAGGTAGGTGGGGTATGTAGGGTAGGTAGGTAGTGTAGGTAGGATCTCTTCTTTCGATTGAATCTCGCAGGTTTCAAGTCGTGAAATGTATATATTAATAATCTGCCAAGGTTATTGTTTTTAAAGTGGCGTTAAATCAATGTAACGGTTAATACATCGCGCATTGATAGAATAGCAATAGCATGATCCTAGTAATAAAATGAATAAGGAAAGGAAAGATGATATTGTCGATTGCAAATAGATTACAATTTTAAATCTCGAGAGTCTTTGTGAAAACGTGATGCTACCGGCGCACACATTGCTTTTTCAATTTTCTTTAAATCGTTTTCAATCATCGAATCTCATTTCATTATCCATTCGTTTGTTTTTGTTTTATCCCCGTTCATGGTCGCTTGCGACCCTAATATTTTCTCTCTCTCTCTCTCTCTCTCTCACACACACATACACGCGCGCGCGCGCGCGCGCACACACACACACACACACACACTACATTACATTACATTGATCGAAACAATGAAAGACAGGAAATGATTGTGATATCGAAAATAGCATGTGCTTATGACGTTCATAAAAAAAAATAATGCAATTTAACGAAGCGTAAAATCAGTTGGAAACAACTATGAAAATGATAAGAGGGTAAATTTTTATATAATGCGCTGGAACATTTGAGTTGAAAAACTAAATAAATTCCTGTATTATTTAGCGAATACTTTGACTCATCGGTATTGTTACGCGGAATTTGATTTCGAATAAACATAAATACACAGTGCCTCGGCAAAGTTTAACAACAACCATTAGAAAAATCAATAGCAAAGCTTTTTTAATTTTAGTTGCGCTTTAGCCGAATGCCAACTGAATTATTTCGACATCTCGTATTAATAATAATGGGCTGGATCGGATCGCAGTATTAAAATATTCTCTCTTTATCGATATGCTTGCAGATTCACAGATGGAGCAAGGTTATAGGTCGGAGGTTCAGGAACGAGCCCTTGTCGTTTCCCTGCAGATGTTCAACCTGATACTGGAACGCGGTGTCTGCCTACTCAAAACGCAGTTGGAGAGCGACGAACGCCCGAGGCTTGTCGTAAGCGAGGACATGCAAATACTCCTACCCGCTATCAAGGTACTTAGAATTTTGTAATTTGCAATCTCACTCGGCTGATAATTGCAAACGTGATAATATTTATTTGCAAAAGTTTTCGATTGTTCCTTCCTTATTCGTAGAACATATTTTACAGCTAATGACTCGTTGATGTTGATTTGTTGGTATTTATTTATCTTTACGGTTTAGTTCATTGATTTTGTTTACGAATGAATCAGGGGAACGATTGAAACAGGCTTGAAGCAGCCTCTCTGGCTTTTGTTTGTTTGTTTGTTTTGTTTTGTTTATGTTTTATTAAGTGCAGCTGGAATTTACGTATGCATTTCAGTGTAAATAGTTTCATTAAAGCGCATAGACTTAATTCGAAAGTTAATATTATTCCGACTATTAATATTATAAATAAATATATATATATATATATGTATATTATTATTTATTGATAGAATATCTAAAGCTCATTATATTGGTACAAAAACAACAATATTTTTTATATTTTGCATTAGGTACATTCGAGCTATTTCATGATTTTTACTCTGCTATTCGCTCGACAACTTTCGAATGAAATTTAATTTAATTTTCCTAGTTTTGTTTCAATCTGTCGGAAGATATTTTATTTTCAATATTTATACGAAGCTTCTGTATGCTGCTCTTATTTTCCATTTTAATTGCATGTCCATCCCGTCGTAATCAACATTGCAATTTAATTATCGTTAGAGCACTTGCCGAAATGTAAATATTCTCTTATATCATAATTACATAATTTATTCAATTATTTCTTTTTTTTTGCTTTCCGTTCGCAACACTTTTGTATTAATAGTGATAAATTAATTTTGTTCATATTTTGTAATAATTCTTGTTTCTCATCTAAATAAGATTATGGAGATATCGTTACTCGATACATATAATCCTGTATTCAAAATCTTTTCGTCTCGAGTCTAAAATAGTTATAATTTTCTTTTTCTATCATTTCGTTTTTGTTTTTGTTTTTTTTTCACGTGATATCGAATACAATTGTTTGCACGATCCATGTGTCTGAAATACTTAAATAATACATTTGTGTACAGGGCTTGACGATTTCAAACTAACTATACGAACATTTGTGTTATTATTAAAAAAAAAAAAAAAAAAAAAAAAAAAAAAAAAAAGTAAAATAATTGCATAAATATACGTTTTAAAATGACGGTTTTTATAAAGGGGCTAATAATGTTTAAACGCTAAAGTTTATTTAGCGTCAACAATTGATTGAAGTCCGACGACGATTCATACCTATTTTTGAAATATAAATAATTAATAGGCACGCGTATTGTTTCTCTGACTTTAGCGATAATAATATATGATATTAATTTACGGATACGAGCAGCGCGTGAATAAAACAAAAAGAAAATCAAATAAATAAAGAATAAAAAAAAGAAATGACGAAACAAGTGTTTAAATTCTCGAGCTAATGTCCTTTGCCAACAACGCAATCGGTAGAAAAAGTAAATTGATGAGTTATGGAATAGGCTTTTTACTACAAGAAAAATAACGTCAGATAACGTCAAAACGAAAGCCAACGAAAGCCGACGAAAGCCAACGAAAGCCAACGAAAGCCAACGAAAGTCAACGAAAGTACACAATTAAGAGATCATTTGCGGCTGTCTGTAATCACGGCTTTTCCGGTCTTCGGTATAAGGTTGATCTGTATCTCGGTGACGCGGCCAATGAGTGGCGTCGCACGATCGCTCGATTCGAAAGTCGCGGCCATTAATATTGCCGATGAACCCGTAGAGATACGTGGCGTGAGACGACGCACGAGGTCTTTCGCGCATGCGCAAAAGGATTAATCACCGGTACGACCAATTAATTATGCTCGCCCTTCGTTGTAATCATTTATCTCAGTCATGAGTTTATTGATATGCGCTATTTTACGACTTATTCCCGATCCTTCAATTGAACCTCTTTTTTGCTATCCGTAGATTTGGTGCGATTGGATGCTTTGTCATAGTACGGTCTGGAATCCACCACCTTCTTGTACAGATTACAGAGTCGGGTAAGTACTCGTCATATAAGAAATTATTCATTAACCATAATTATAGGAAGCATGTGATTAAGCCATATGTTTGCAAAGCTTCCAACATGAGGCGTAAAAACAATTATTTTCTCGCAGTCTCCGGGATTTCTTTAACCTTTAATGAGCAATGATTAAATTAAAATATAAAAAAAATTTATCACCAATAAATTTTAACATATGATGAATTTATTCATTCAATCAATTAACGTTAATATTGCGAGAGGTTGCACCATAGGTACTTTGCTCTCCTGTCATTACAACTCGTCTAACCCCAACGATCTTGAATGCAATAACAAGCGTATGTACTCGTTAGGAGGCAAGGGCGAAGGGAAACAATTATTTCTTAAATTTTTAAATGTACACGCACGAGCTCTCGGATAGGTCGTTAAACATGTAGTACCGCCGTATATAAAGTTAGAGCACATTGTGGTGGAACTCATTTGAAATGCCCGTATTATCAAGAGCACGTAGGGAAATTCTTAGCACCGAGTGTAAACACACGCGAAGGTAACAACGAACTCTCGACGCTTATCTCGCATCATTTTCGAGCGGTAATGAAGTTTGAATTAACGCGCCGCATTACCGCGGAAGCTCACCTCACGCACCTATCAGCGTCGGCCATCATTATTCGGGCATAACTACGACGTGGTGGGACGAGGTGGGACGAGCTACGACAAGCCACGAGGAGCTACGACGAGCTACGACGAGCTACGACGAGCTACGACGAGCTACGATGAGCTACGACGAGGCGTTCTCTCTTCCTCAACTTCCGCGGTGTCGAATCGCCGGATAATCCTGTCGACAGTAGCCGTGTCGTATAAAAGCGTAATGCCAGAAGCGAGGAGCTCTTGGACCGCAGGCGCATCTACAGGGCCGCAAATAGCCTCGGTTAGCGACCGCAGTTCGTCGCTACTACCACTAGTCACCGCTAATTAGAACTTTGCTTGTTATTGGGCTTAGCCAGGGCCCGGGCGGCCTAAGACTGTCGAAAGCGATTCCGTGGCTAACGGTATACGACCTTAAGGTCCGCGAGGG